GGAAGGATGGAATCGACAAGCGCCTGAGCGCTGGCGTCGAGTAGTGAATGGTGATGGTGCATACCTCCAATCTCCACGCTGGTTCGTTTTTGAGATATTTACAAAAAAGTCGTGTATAAGAACTTATGCAACAACTTAATAGATCATTAAAAGAACTGAAGGAATGAACTGAAAGTGGATGCGGAAGACGCCTTACAGTCCATTGGAAGGATTTCACGAGCTCATGAGGCGCAGGAGAATCGTTATTCAATCGACGATCTCATCATCGTGAAAGGAAGAATCGTTGGGGTTGCCGTTCCTTCACGAGGTGCCACTGGATATGCTAGTTTCTTGTGGGCTGAGCTACATATGGACACTCGAATGCAGTACAGCCTCCGTGACGGGCCAGCCGACGAATACCCCATGTCACACCACAATGTTTAACATACCACATGAATTCCGAAATAATGCTACAGCGTTCGCGGAAGCCGATGCGCACTCGCAAGGCCAGGCTAGTGTGAAAATTAGGCTAGATCTCTAATGCAACAACGGCATAGGGAAGGGGGCACCTTGGAACTAATCCCAAATCTAGTCCGAAAATCTTGCAACGCTTGGAAGGCTTGCGTTGCACCGCTGAACGTTGGAACGCTGACGAGGCGTTCATACGAGCTGGCAGAAGCAGTAGAACTCCGAAGAATTGGTCTGAATTGGTCTCCGTGCAGTGCAGGAGAGGAGATGAACCGGTTGTCAATTGAGAGAATCAGTCGCAGCTTTGAAGCCGGTTTTTTTTGGTGGAGCAAAGACAAAAATGGTGTAACTGTAATCGTGTTATAGCGATTCCATGACTCGACTACCCTTGCGACTCCTTTCTGCGAGTGGCTGAAGATTGTTGTCACTCTCGAGCAACAACTGTACCATTCTCTGCATATGTCCCCAAGCTGGATGCTCTAAGCAATCCAAGGACGACTTCTGGGCTCTGCTTAATGAGAAAACGGCTGAAGCTTCATCACAAGATGGCATCATTATTGCTTATCGGTAGGGACCCAAGTGGACACGCTTGTCATGATGGATTCGGTTACGGATCACAGAACGCCGATGGTGAGCGAGTCCTTGAATATGCAGACACGCACAATCTTGTCATTCTGAACAGAAAATTCGTAAGCACGACTCCCACCTTATCACCTTCTCAGCGGGAGTACTAGAACACAAATAAACTTTCGCGAAAGTATACAGCTCCCAGATCGAAACAGTTCGAGCAATGCGGTCACGAGACATATGCAGCTCCCAGATCGAAACAGTTCGAGCAATGCGGTCACGAGACAATCAAGTGGCAGCAGATAGAGCGGGAAGCAGCTGTGATTTCTCGCATTCGATTTCCGAGGTCGCAAATGTCGAAACCAGGGAGGAAGCCCTCAAATCGACTAACCAGGTCATTTGCTTGGAACTCGGCACAACCAAGCCTGGGCGGCGTAAACCTGGCATGCAGGCTTGTTCTGGATGGATAAGCGATGCGGAGGACTGCGAGAAGGGAGCTGAGCTCATAAACTAGCAGAAAAGCCATAAACGAAGACTCCAAGAGTGGGACAGCAGCAGTACTAGTGGGAGCAGTAGGAGTTGGAAAGAGCACCCGCAACGCTTGCCGAGACTTTGTCATCTGTAGCGCCAAAATGGCCTGCCCGAACGTCTGCATTGGAATGTCACTGCTAGAGGGCAACGGAAAAGAATATCCACTGTTTCTACCCCAATTCCTGTGGCACTCATGTCTACCTTGTGTCGTATCACCTGAAACAGGATGTTGGCTGCCTGCGTTTGCGCTAGTAGGAAGATCGGTATGCAGCTGAACTGGCGAAGATTTCCGTGGAGAAAGGACTGGTTTTTGACGCCACAACATCGCTTAACGGAAAGAACGCCTCACCTCTGAACTCTCTAGCTATGTGAATATGGGTTGGCAAATCAATATGATGAACAACTCGGGACCAGACCTGAGCAGGAGGAAGCGCTAGCTCGGGAAGCATTTATGAATATCGAGGAGGTAGCGAAGAAGATAAGGAGCACCCGGCTTTGTGCCCATTTTTTTGCTCCGCTGCCTTTCCTGCATTATTCTAGGCCTTGGATTCTTTAACCCTACGAAAGCGGGATGAGCATTCAGTCGCGCCATCGAGTGAACAATGTTAGTAGGTCTCTTGCTAGACATGAGTAAGTTGAGCTGAACGTTCTCGAGCACGACCGGTCGCAGGGACTGCCTCCATTTCATCCGAGCTGCATTGATTCGAGCTTCTACCGCCTGGTCCACGCTATCCGGATAATCTTGACCTGAAGCTTTTGCCGTGGCGATACGATGAATTCGGTGCCCTCTTTGGAACTCAGAAATTCGGACTTTCTAACCCCTATCCAGAGTCCGTTCTTAGCAAAAACGTCCTGCTACGTTAGCACCTTTCCCTGCAGTTCTTCTCTGCAATTCGCTACCAGGGCGATGTTGTTACGGGAGGACGGTTTCAGTGGCCCCTTTATGTGTTTTTCTGCTATGGCATCCAGAGTTAGTAGAAAGAGGAACGGTTTAATGGCTGATCCTTGGTGTACCCCTACCGTGATCTACCTCCTTCCTCAAGTTGTGTGGGGCCCGTACAGCTGCTTCAGCCCCATTGTTCAAGTCCTCCACTATGGATACCAGATGTTCCGGAACGTTCCGTTCTCCGAGCGTTCTCCAGAACACGGGCCAAGATAGATAGTCGACTGTCTTCTCAATCTAGGAAAGCTAGGTAGTAGGGTCACCGCTTTTCGGTACTATTCCGTCACATGTCTCCGTCATCGACCAAAATGGCGTCGGTGGTGGGATTTTCGGACATGAAGCCGAACTGCTCCCGCAAGACAGGGACAGATCTCTTTAGCATTTTGTTGACCAAAGTTGCTCTAGCAGCTCTGCAGCTTCATTAGGCTGCGAAGAAAGTCCTGCGATATTTTGAACATATTGTTCTGTGAAAAAATTAAAAATGGTTTCGACCGTTCTCACCCCTGATTAATGGAAAGTGTTCTCTGAGGTTTTTACAAGCGGGTACATAATGACTTTGTGGAACTTTTCAAAGCTCAATGGCCCTGAAAAGGTCAACATACTTTCCGACCTATCTCATCTTACGAGTTCCTGTTGTTCCTGTTTTCGTAGTCAAGGAAGCTAACACCTGCATTGTCTTTAGGAAAAAGGTCGCTTGCTATGGCTGTATCCCGCTTGTATCAGTACTTGCAAACTGGCTTTATTTATTTGAAAGTTGGACACTTATAGGTTGGCCACCAGCATAGAATGACAGCCGTTTACTAAACCTCCTGGGCGAGCAGCCCAACGAAACCCCCAATAACCCATTTCTTCCTGCTCTTCGAGACCGTGGCTTACTCATTAGACTTAGTAAGTTTCGACTACCATCTACTCTGATCCCTACTGCATCCTTCAGAAAGCAAAATTCTGAAAATCAACGTCTACTTGGGGATGAGGCCCACCTCGTCTTTTCGTGGTAGTTGCTGTAATTTCACAAGAGTTGAATCGAGAAATTGCGAGAAACGTGGGCACTTATCTTAGTTATTAGTGGTGATTACTCCGTGGATAGGTGTCGCTTAGTGAAAGAAAATTTTGTCAGAAATTATGGTGAGAGTGTCGTAGGACTTTCTTCCCTACCTGGTAGTATGCGGAGAGAACGTGATGCTTTGAGAACGAGAAGATAAAACGTGATGAACGTCAATATGATTTTCCTCATCTTCAAACCGGAACACGACTCTGTCGCGTCGTGTTCCGGTTTGAAGATGAGAAAAATCATATTGGCATGCTTCCTTTGGCCATTACGCTGTTTAGGAAGTGGGTGGGCTAACTTTGCCCACGTTTTTCAAAGGATTTCGATGCCCTTGGAATTACCCTATCTAGACCACTGCTTTCCCAAACGCCGATTCTCGGCGGTTCTCAGCCTTTCTTCTGGGGTTGATAGGGACCGCCGCCTCCGTTATCTCTGGGCTGTCCTTGCTTGAAACCTCTCAACCAGGGGTCTCCCGGAGTATTCTTTCCACTTCTCCCTGACTGAAGGTTTCTTTAAAATGGCACCGTTGCAGCTTTCATAGTTTCACTACCCTGGTTTCTCGCGTAGCGCGGTTGTAACCGAGCAGAAGAAGAACTTGTCCCCCTCTTGACCCTGCAATTTCTGACTACTGCTGCGCTGGACCTCTTTTCCTGGAATTGATTAGGGAAATTTGACCATTCCCAGTATTCTTCTACTTAAGCTATCCTTTTCTAATATGTATATTTCCCACCACAAAATTCATTGCTCGGTTCTTACCTTCGTTTTCTTGGAAATGTCCATTCCTAGCAGCACTTTATTATCCTTTACGGTTTGAAAAGAGGATATTCTCAGTGATACATGATCGATTTGAGTTTGTCTTACTCCACTGCGGTAGATTATCTTCCTGAGTTTTTTTGCAAAAGCGGTGCTGCAAATTGCTAGGTCGCGAGCTGTGGGTTGTTGAGAATCCACTAAAACTGGCCTTTTTTGGACTTCTAATCATTTTACTTGTGACGGGGTTCTTCATCAGGTGGCCTGTAAACCTGGGCCTGTTGCTGATGTCGTCATCACTTTTAAAATTTAAGCAAGGCAAGGTTTGTACCTCTTCAAGGATCGAACTCGCCGCTCAGAGTGCAGACATAAGACTGCACTCTCAATCATTCGTCTATCCCTGCCTCTTCTTGCTAAAAGTGATGAAAGGAATCTGGAGCTCAGCACTTCTTTGACGATCGAGGATCATCAGAGACCCAGCCGCATTTGCCAAGGTTTTGAAGATCAGGTAGGCGAAACGTGTCATGCGGTTCGACGATGATCACGGCATCAAACTGGATTTCGCTGAAATGGATCGAATTCCACAGCGGTACAAAACCCTAGACCACCAAGCCCCTTGGCCATACTTCGTAGTGGAAGCTAGGTGATACAGGAAGCTATACTGCGTGGTAAATGTGTGGCAGGTTTGAACGCTGCGAAGATGCGATGAAAAAAATGCACTGTGTGAGAGCCATTAATTCATCCACAAAGCAGGTTTTCCGGCTCAAAGGAGAAACTCAATTCGCAGATAAGTGGTTAGCAACCTCCAACCCTTCACAGGATTTTTTCAGGGTTCTTCTCATGGCTCAACCGAAAAGAATAGAGCAATCAAAGTTTCCATCGTCGCTAATAGATCCCACGTCGCTCATTGAATGTGTCTACCAGAAGAAGTGCGAAGTGAGGAATGTTGCTCTTTTAGTTCGGTTTAATTTGCATACAATTTGCAAAATTTCACACTACAAGACAAAACGAGAGAAGAAATATAGCCATAAATTATTCATTAGCGTCCACAGCGAAAAACGTCAGTCTTATCATACAGCCGCGCGATGCGCGGCACTATAAGTATTCTCGCACTTCCTTTTTCAAACTGCTTTCTGCAAAATTATCTCGCAATCGGTATGGTCAACCATCGCAATCGGTATGGTCAACCATTTGCCCTAGTTTGATGCAACAGGAGAACTCCAGCAGATGAGGATGTTCAAGTCTCGATATCAAAACCTCCTCCAGTGACATCACTCAAGCACTTGGGCCACATTGGGTCTGAAATGACTGCTCTCAGTTGTTTTGGTAATGTGCATACCGCCTATCCTAATTCAAACGACAATCCGGGTGACAGTGATAAGGATTTGTCGAGAAGGGATCGTTGAGGCGAATAAATGAGAGATAGATGGAATAGTGGAGCGAATAAATGAGAGATAGATGGAATAGTGGAGAAGTCGGAGGTTACAGTTAGTTTAAGTGAAGAATACTTTGATTAATATTGTGAAGTTCGTTTTCGTCACTTTGTCTGATGGACCTTCTTAGGGTTTTTTTAGTCCGATACTAGAACTCATATCAGTACCTGATGAAATGCACGAACAATTAGTACACCACAGGAAAAGTGGAAGTGAAACGATATCTAAGTAACTAATTTCAGTTCCACGAGCCAATCACGCTGCCGAACAACGTTGCTCCGAGAGTCTCTTTTCGAAAACCGAAGAAGATCAGAAGGCGTGTGGATGATATCATATTTGTTAATTTATTGCAGCAAGTTCGTTTCATCGCTGAACATTTTCAGCACAATGAGCGGGAAAGTGAGGTATGTAAGATATCGAATCTCAACAATAATGAATCTACTCATGTGTTTTTGACTCGGACGATCAGACGCTCCCTCGCTAGCCTCGTTTCTATTGACCTCATCTTTTGCCTAGTGCTGGTCCCACGGCGTCGCGCAGCCTGCTGCTTTTGTCATACCCCGCCTCCTGTCCTGCTCATGTCCAGGGCGGCTGCCGTAGCCTTTGTTTGGTGAGGCCCTTCTCAAGAACGCCACTTCGCCCTTTCTTTGAGGCTTCTCATAGTGTAAGACAACTGTAGGAGTACAGTAGAACACCGTGAGGGGATGCATTTCTGCCTCTTCTGTAACTGAACTGCGAGATCTAGCTCCTGTCCTCCCTACAAATTAAGCGAAGATAGAGTATCGCGGGTCCGTTCTGGAAAGAATTCTGCTGTTGTTATACTTTGGCGCAGGACAGAAATGAAAACGAAATGAAAGTCATTTGTTGTCAATCCCATCACAACTTCTCACCCACCACTCGTATCGGCACTTTTCGCTCGTTGCCGCTGCGCAATCATTGCCATGAGCTATTTTTCTCCACCACCAATACTTGTATTGCTAACGTAGCTCTATTCCGGAGGGCAGAGCTGATCTACAGTATGAAGTTGGAGCTCTCTTGCTAAACAGCGCTGAACTACAATTAAGACGATGATATTCTTTTGCTGAAACTTCTGAGGTCGTGAAAAACTGTCAGTCGCTACTTCTCAATTATTGTTTTCACTAAGTATATCAGGGCTTATCAACTAAGAATGGTGCGAGTTCCCTCTTGATTTGGACTGTTTGCAAATTTTCTTATCACCGCCCTTGAGATGATTTTAATACAAATATTCTTTTCAATTGAATTGGAGGGCTTACGCCAATGCTGAGAAATAAAGCAAGAAAGTTGTAGTTGCGCTCAAGACGAGGCTTTACCGAGACTTGTATAGCAGCTGGGCCCGAGAGAAGCAGAGAAAAGGTATAGACCGATCTGGCAAAAGGACGGACACAATTAGCGAAAGAAGTTGAATTCCACATTTTTCTTAAAAATTTAAATGTTGAACAGCAGGCGGAAGATTATTGATCGTTGACACCAACATTTCAGCTGAATTTCCAGGGCAGGATTTGCACACCAGCCAGCCCTGGAAGGCTCAGTGCATGCTGGTATAGTCCCTCTGATCATAGCCAAAAAAAGGTTACCAAGTCGACTAACAGCATGAAGAGCCGTAAAGCGTCGGGATTAGACAACATGCCAACAGTTTTGAAAAATGCGTTGAATACGACCAAACGGGACTCTATAGCTTACACAATTTCACAATGCAGTCGTTGATTTGAGCGTGCATCAAGCGAGTGGGTCACGTGCATAACAGTATCAATTCTCAAAAGCAAGTGACATCCTGTTCAATGCTACAGCTACCGCTCGATCTGCCTATAGTTGCATCAGGGCACGTCACTAGTTGGGGATTTTGGTCGAATCGTACGATCCCCCAAACGGTGATTCGATACGACCTCCTATCTACCACATCCCCCCTAGTCCCCTCCTCTGATCGAGCTGTCGAGCGGGGGAGGGAGGGATTGTATTGTGTGCGCCTGACGCGGGAAAAAGAGTACGCCCCTCATTTGTAGGGTCCACGCAACAAGAAAAGTCAGCGTCAGTAAGAATATATTTTCTCAGTTCAAATACAATCCCCTCCGCCCAGTGACCAAACACGACACCTCTGTTAGGGAACCTTTGGCGCCAAGGATTACTTGCGTCGCCTGAACATGGAATAAGGCTGAGCACTTGTTCTCTCTAGGCCGTCAAACGCATCACTCCCCAGCGTTCCCGAGGGAACACCAGCAAAAATCTAGAACGGAAGAAACGAGTACACCCAGTCCACCAGCGCATCAGTGGAACGACGCCCATCTCTGACTAATAAATGAGTCATAGGGTGATGTTTCTATAGTTAAGTAGCAAGTATACTTAGGATTTGCACGTCTTGCTTCCCCAGTAGCCCGCAATGCAAATTGTAAGACGTTACTGATGATAGATTAACACTCATTTTGCCACCTAGGAAGTTCAGAATCTAGCTGGAATCTCGGTTTCTCATGCCGGTATTCTGCAAATCACATTGAATCATTTCCGGGCTTAGTTCATATGTGAAACTCATCGTGATGAAACTGTCGGAATTTGACCATAAGGAACAACCAGCACCATTAGTGGTGCTGCCAAGTGACCGAGCTCGGAGGATTACATGGCTCTGTCGTCGGAACAGAACACTTCTTCGCGTTTCGTGCACGCACTGGTACAGTCCGCTGTTGATGTCTGAAATGTGGTAAAGGCAAGCTGTACACTTACTTACAAGGAGAACCCGTGCCATATGCGAGGTGAACGGTCACTGTAGTAGTTGCATGCCACATTCATTCTTTAAATGTAGAAGGGAATGAAACTGGAGCGTAGGTGGGCTTGAGTTTCGGTTTTCATCCGACATCGGCACCGCGCAGCACATGCGTCGATGCCAAGGTCTTGCAGCGAAAAGCATGAAAACAAATTAGACTTGAAAACAAGAGGCATCGAAAGTAGTACTGCTCAGCACCATAAGGAACGGGAAGCTGTCTATTGCAGCCACGTAGAGAACAACAGCTTCTCGATAAACGAGGGGTGCAGACGACCAGCGCGATTGGATTTGCTGGGCATGTGGCTGGTAACGCGGCGTGTTACGCATGTGCGTGCTTTATTGTATTGTGTGTACAAAACCTCGACTGGCACTCAGCTACCAGCATCCTCCAGCCTCGTTTCCGTTAGTTTCGAGTGACGAAAGTGGTACATTTCTACAACTGCAGACCCATTCACCTCGCGCATAACACGGGACATCGGTGATAAGTGTAAGCGAATCTTTGTGCTGTTATCTCATGTAATGGTATTTTTGCGTGATGGGTGAAGAACACATTTCTTTAGATCTCTGACGACTGGACATTTGTAGCAATGGTATTGGATCGCCTATTTTTGCTTATATTCTCGGTGCTTAATGTGGGGACGATGTTCATCATATTGGAAGCCCCATCACTCTATGATTATTCCGATGCGATGAATATCACTGTGCCGAACAAACCACTTGGACAAGCAAACCTTTTTGGTAGTCACTCATTGCGTTTGTGATAAAATTTTAAGCGATATTTTTCCATCGAATTACGATGATTGTGTCTGTCTTAATGCTGTCTTGTTAGGAGTCACGATTTGACTAGTACAGTTCCGTGGGTTAGTACGGGCACTCGCATGTGGGGCATCTGGTAGAAGCTGAGGCTCCGAGCTCACACGTACCTTCAGAATTTGCCGAACCATTATTCATAGGAAGTGACCGGGATTTTCTCTCATCGTAGCATCCTTCACCTCTCCCATGTTTTCCCAAGGTAAATTGGAGAAGTACAAGTTGTAGGTGGCCGGCGATTCAGTGGTTGGGTAAGATGGCTCATGAGAATAGGTCGAAGGTTTGAGTCCTTCAATAGTGTTTGCTTTTACATCTCTTCGACGCTTTCACTATCAGTCTGGAAAGGAACGCTCTCGAGTTGTTTTGCCGATTTGCAGTCTTACTTGGTATACGGAACATTTATTTTGTCGTCCAAGGGAAACCGTAAGCTCGGAAAAAGAAGTAGGCATAAATCACACTATAAGTAATCACCCAATGCTGGACTCTATCATGTAGCCCCTCCAGCATCGCCCCAACTAACATTTCCGAAGGAAGTTTATGTAGGGATACAAAGCTGTGACGCCAATTTTACACAAAATGGCGCTACCTACAAAAAAAATGGCTCCGAATCAGGGCACTTGATAGCTTCTAGGCACATAATTTCAAAAGAATATTTTCGAAATTTTGAGTGTCTCGACAACTGAGTGCTGCGTACAGTGCGCCCCCAATTTTCGCAATATCGACCGCCTGCGACGGATCAATCTCTCGCAACAATTGCTTGGCCATAGGTTGTGAAAAATAGTCTAAATGATCTGAAAAATGAATTGTTGGGTAGTCGTCTTTTCTTCTAATTTTTTTTGACTTCGTTTCCGAGAACTTCTAACACTGAGTCTCCAGTCTGAGACGATACCTGGGGATACGACTGTGTCCTGCAATCCGATTGAAGATTCTACCTAAATGCTTCGAGTAATAAATGAATAATTTAGAAAAGTTCTAGCTACCAACATATTCGCGAGCGCAAATCCACGATCCTTCTAAGACCGGCTATGTTAAGATTCCCCTAAAATCCACCTGGGTAACTTATGTATCCAATCCTATCGTTTTGAGTTTGATAAATTTCTACACTTGTTGCGTTCTTCTGAAAAAACAAGTTGGTATGGTTTCGCCAAATAGTATCAGGGGTCAACTATTAGAAAACAATGGAAATCTGCTTCAGCGATGAGCGCTCCGGGTGTGTTAGGCACAATTTCTTTAACAAAATAGAAGAAGTCGATTCAACGGCCGGTCCGATACGACATTGCTTCTACAACTCAAATAACTCCGAGAATGATTAGGTTACAATCCAGAGACTACAACCGCTTGAAACTGCCGGTGCAGTAAGAGCTGACCCGACACTGACCCGTAGGAACCATGTTGATCCTAAATTCGATGATGCAGTTCTTAAGGGGCACAACTTATCTTAGCAATCATCATCGAGATATGTAATACAGGGTTCTGCTTTGCAATCTATTTATTGAACCCTCACAGCCGATCTCATTCTGCCGGCTTTTTCGGCTACGCTGTAATTTTGAGATGAAAAAACCGAATCCATGGTCTAATGAATCCCCTGTTGTACATCCACAGAATGATCGATGGAAGCGCCGTTTCATGGTGAATTACCTGTGTTTAGTGCCAATGTGAACTTCATTAACCTGACTTCGTGAAACATCGTTTTCACAATCATTGTAGAAGTGATTATTGGGTACAGTTCTAATTTGCGATCCATTTTTTGTTCCATTTTCGCTCGCAAGATAGCAATCGAGCTTCTGCTAATTGACCCCCCTAAGGACCTATTGCTTTTCCTGCAGCCATGTCCGTTACGAAACAGTGCGATGAAGAAAACCAGTTTCTCAGAAGAAGGAGATCACATACATACATGTTGTACTGCTCAGTAAATTGCTGGGAAACAGCGAAAATTTTAGGCTAATTGGTATCTTCAGGTGTCAACATCGAGAACTGATCTAGAGTTAGAACGCTTACACTCAGAAGAGATTCTCACTGAAAATCATACCACTTGTCGATTGCCTGCGCTATCTACGATCTCTTGAATCCCTAATCAGTCAGCTCGTCGAGATGGGCAAGTCAGTTTATTGATCAGTCTCCCTAACTTCATTGGTTAATCATACCACTTGTCGACTGCCTGCACTACCCATCGATCTAGTTCTCCGCACCTGAATAAGCTTCCTCTTCGATGCTCTACTTCACCTGATGGGTTGCCGTACATCTTTCTCAAGAAATCTGCTGAAGCTATCACTCCTGCTTTGACTCATCTTTTCCGCAGAATACTTTTGAGAGAGAAGTAAGGAGTAGATGCCATCGCCATACAACTGCGTTGAAGACACCGGTTAGAGACAAAACAATAATCTCAAAACCCGAAAGGAGCAAGAACGTTGATTTCAAGAATATACAGCCCTCGTGTGTATCGCGCAGAAGTAGATTGACAAAGTAATGGAGAGGATTGTTTTGTGGCAAAAGCGAACTTTCCTCATATCGAGAAATCTTCTGTCACATTGCCAGCATGGGTTTCTCCCAAAGAAGTCTACCACAACAGCACTTCTTTCGGCTATTCCCGCTTGGCAGTACGCCATTGATAAAAAGGAAACTGTTTTGCAGCCTACATTGATTTTGCCAAGGCCTTCGACTCCGTTCCTTTGCAACTTTTGTTTCTAAAGCTAAAACAGTTCGGCATCACCGGATGTCTTGCCAAGTTCGTAGAATTCTTCCTCTGTAACAGACACCAGAGGGTTGTCCTCGACGGTTCATGCTCCAGAATCTACCAGACCGAGAGTGGCGTTCCCCAAGGCTCTTGTCTAGGACCTCTGTTGTTCATCATGTACATAAACGATCTGCCTGAGAGCCTTCCACCTGGTATGAATTGCACGATGTACAGGGGAGGGGGGCCAAAAAAACGACATTTCGACCGAGTCACATATCAGCAAAGTTTTCGCTGCCCAGAGAGAAGACGTGGATACGAGTACCAGGGCGAAAGATACCCAAGATGTTCCTCTATAAGCAGGAGCTGGCTCTCGCCCATCACCTTCATGTACACCAAAATATGAAGTCATCTCCAGCCGCAACCTGACTGGAGAAGACCTTTGGAATTCATGTCACCTCCAACAGCTGCGAAACTTCTAGTATGGAGTCACCCATGGATAGCTACCTGGAGACCAGTACTCTCGATCTGGATGACCTCCAACATCGAGCAGCTCCGACAACGTCGCTACGGTCTAGGACATCATCTTCACCTCAGTCGCCAAGGCGCCAGTTGATGGTGGGGACCGGACGTACCTGGAATGGAGAGACCGATATTTTCTTCGTGGGCCCCGGACTAAAGGTGAGCGCTGGCGGTTACATCGAGCAACTCGAGAAGAATATCCTCTCCCACATGTCGTCGCCCGTACCTTCTTGGAAACTTTGTACTGCTACAGGATTGGGTGACACCACATGGAATCAAAGGGCGTTGGGAAAACTCTTGCCTACTTGGAATGGAAGGGCGTTGAGTACCTGAATAAGGTGGAATATCTAAGCAGGTAACCTGACCTAAACCCCTCAATTACCTGGTTCGGGCGGAGTTCAATAGGGTGGTCTACAGTGGCGGAGAAATCAACGATCTCGCTGAACTCACGCACCCACTGACGGTCGCGTGGCAGAATCTCTCGATGGCGCTCCTCCAGAAGGCTGTGGCGGAGTATCATGATAGTATTTAATATGCTCTTCAATATGGTGGTAGAAATGTCCGATAAGAACTAAAGTGTAACTTATAGCGCCTCGAATGTCGAGGAAGAAAAAAGTCTTTTTTTTTTGCCCCTCCTGTATGCGGATGATGTCAAGTTGTACTGCATGAACCAACCCTACCCTGCTGCAAGCAGCTCTTGATGCAATATCGTTGTGGTCTAGGGCTCGCAATCTCTCTTGATAAAACTGTTGTTTTGCAGTTTGGGTGTTTCCTACCCTTCTGCACTCAAGTTTGTGATTGATGGTAGTTGAGCTAAAAGAACCAGAAGCTTTTACTGATTTAGGTATCACTTATACTCGTACGCTGTCATTCAGCGAATACATTAAGAAAGTGGTGCATTCAGCCCATTGCAAGGCAAACTTCATTCTGCGCATTCTCTTCCAGAAGCATAAAAACCTTGTTTAAGCTTTTTGTAGCGTATGTGCGCCCTACGCTCGAGTATTGCCCTATGCTGTGGAGCCCCTATACGCGCTCCCAAGTTGAAATGGTCGAGGGTGTTCAGTCTAAATTCACTGAACGCATTTTCGCTCGTGAGGGTATGTTCCATGTATCATATAGAGATAGACTGAAGTACTTGAAGGAGGATTCACTTGAAATGAGAAGAAAGTTGAGTGATTACGAGCTTACTTTCAAAATTTCCGCTAAGTTGGTAGACTTAGACTTTGATGTCCTTTTCAAAAGATCTTCAACGATTAGAGCATGGGACAAGAAATAAAAAGCACACTTGACCTATGGGAAGCCCCACCACAGTGGGCGGGGCACTCGCCGAAAGTTTGGGGTTCCGCAGAAAAATGTTCATAATTCGCTTCCGGAGCAGCTTAAAGATGGGGAAAAAGGGAATAAGGTTAGTAAGGAGTCGCCAGACTAACTGTGGCAGACACATCCAAAATGGGCGGGGCGTACTCAAGGTGGGCGGTGCTCGCAAAATTCAGTAACCCGGTTCGCGAGAGTGTTTGGAAGTCGCAAAAACTCAGTGTAGAATGTAAATATCTGGCGAATATAGGGCACGCTCAAAGTGTGTTGAGACCCGCCCACAGTGGGCGGAGCTTGCCCTAAATCGCAGGGTATTCATTTTAAAAGTTTGTAGCTCGGTTCCAGAACACTCCAGACACCGGAAAAAAGTGGACTAAGGTCAGCAGAGGGTCGCCGGTGAGGATTGTGGGGCAAAAACATTGTGGGCGGAGCCTGCTCCGAGGT